ATTATTATTAATTATTAATTATTAATTATTAATTATTAATTATTAATTATTAATTATTAATTATTAATTATTAATTATTATTAATTATTATGCTGTTTTAAACAATTTGTTAACGATTAATAATTATAACGATCGATTTATAAATACGAGGCGAATGAAAGTGATTGTAACTACAATAGTTTTTATATTTAATATAATTTAAGCAAATAAATAAATGTAAGAATGTTCAATACTTTGTCATTGTTACTCAATTATTTAAATATTATGACTTTTCCGCCTCCTCGACACTCCCTCGCTCGTTTTCACCGATAAGCAATATATTAACGCCAATTATATAATACCAAACAACCGTTAATGTTTACAAGTTGGCATTTTCATTTTAATACAGGCGAAAAGAAAAAAACAAGGAAAAATGAAAAAGAACGAAATACTGCGTTAATTGAAAAAATAATTAAAAATACTCGACGATCATTTTATACGAATATTCATTCGAAGCAATGAAATATTTGCTTCTTAAAAATATAATTGTCAATTGATAAAATTTATAAAATGACAAAGCTCGCGACGTAGTACAAACACTGTGAATTAAACAAATCTTACCCACGAAATCTAAATTACAAATTATTCAATTTCAAATCAGACTTGGAATTATCGGTATAAGTACGTCTCGTATCTTTGTCACAAATTAAAACGAATAAAAATAACGGGACGTGGTTAAGGTCCGACCGATAAGGTACCTGCGGGGCCGTGACCGGGTGCTCCCACATTTTCGTGTTCATGGCCGGGCAAAAGAGCAGTGGCTTGACGGGGTCCCAGGCACGTGCTACGCACGTCAGTAGATTGTCGCAGATACCCGCGGCCAGCTTCCCCATCGTGTTAGCGTCCATCGGCGCTACGAGGAAGAGGTCCGCCCACTTGGTAAGGTCGATGTGAAGGACGGGGTCGCCCCTCCCCTGCCAAGCGGCCCATTCGACCGTATCGGATAGTATTTGGCACCCGGATGGCAGCTCGACTTCCTTCAGAAAGTGCTTTGCCCGCTCCGTAACGACCACGCGCACCTCCACGTTGCGCTCGCTGAGCTTCTGCGCAAGCTGGGGAAGCTTTATCGTGGCGACACTCCCAGTACAGCCGATCAACACTTTCTTGCGCGATACACTCGACATTATGCTAATAATTTCCCCTAAGACTTAAATTATATTTACTTTACTTTATTCGTTTGTTTTATTGTCCGTTAGTCTTCACTTACGAGCTGCTCAACTGACTTATATAATTTAACATTAGCTTCATTAGAAGTTAACTTTAACAAGAACCACAATAATTTATTTTTCATTATTTAACAATTAAACTAGTTCGATAGTTGTATATTTCCTCTATGATGCGTGGTCATCAATATTAGTATTAACTTTCAAGTCACTGATTTCTCGAGTTTAATGATGTAAATTATCGATATATAACTACGTTGACTTATTTCAAGACAATTGTTTGTACAAACAAATTGGCGTTGCACTAGTAGTGACGTTTATTTATAACAGGAACACAATACAATAAACATTTAGTCAATGTACTTTAATATTTCCTTTTTACTAAACAGTTTTTTTTATATGTGTGTAAATGCCTGTGTGCATGACCTATTGAAGTAACATGTAAGCTTGTATGCTGCAATTTATTTGTGTAAAATTTTTGTAAATCTTGATAGTACCTCGTTGATATGTTAATTATATAAAAAAAAATCGTTATGCAATTTCATATAGCCTTCTAGTAATTCAGTTCATTCGTTTTTCAATATTACTTTTCTGATAACGATTTTGATTAACGTTTCCTTATACATTTCTGTCTGTATGTGTGTGTGTGTGTGTGTGTGTGTATATATATATATATATATATATGTATATACGTGTATATATATTATATACGATTATAAAACACGAGATCACAAATCACTGTTACTAAAGATGATTTACATTAGGCACCAACGCACATATTCCTTTCCATCGTTGAATTGTATGTATCGATGAAAATCCTAATTAAAAAAAAAAATTATAAATTATTAATTGAAGCAACACTTAGTACGATATTAAAGTATTTTCATCTGTTAAGGATAATATCTAGCTGATATTGAGTATAAAGGAATTTAATCAAATAAATGAAACAAAATTAAATTTCATCAGTATAATTTTATATCACACTTATTTTATATTAAACAATAAATTTACTTATCAACTATCGTGTAAAACTTTAAAATTGTTAAACAATCAACATTAATTGCTATAAAAATTTATTTGCTATTCACCATGTCTTTATTATACTAAAGCATCAGATTTTAATAAATAATAATTTATAGCAAATAAAAATACAACAGATTATAATTAAAAGTAATATATTATGATTAGAATTACAATAGAATGTGTTGTAGGTTCACAAAACCAAAAGTACATAATTTCTTAATTATAAATCTATTACATACACTAATTAAAAATTTAATACATTGCTTAAAAAATGATTGATAAATAGTAATTGATTCGACTTGATTATTTAGATGTTAACCTTAACAAACGTACAAATATTGCCGTAATTATTTGCAAGCATATTAAATAAAATTTGCTAACCAGGGGCTATTTTTACCATGGCCAATTTCCATAAACATCGGCAGTATTTACTATTTATGTAATTCACTTTTTAATAAAGAAGGCTTTTTTCATTGCTTATTTCCTGTATTTTTCTCAACTTTTTTCTCAACTTTTTTCTCAACAGATTTCGTGGCATTACTCTCATCATTGTTCTCGGTATTCTCGTCAAAACCAAGCTCAGACCAGTCCATACGAATCATCAGATCATTGTCCATTCGACATTTAAGATAGCTTTTGGATATGTCCTTGCACTCACTTGCGTGATTGTTCTTTTCCAAAAGACACTGCAAATACTTGGCCATAAACTTTCGACAAACTGCTTCATGATCTAATGGAAAATTGCCCTTTTCAGGTGGTGTTGGCTTCAATAACTTTTTACCAAATATCAAAGACATCCTGCGTTTGGATGGATATTCCTTAAGTCTCACTGAAATTACGATTAAAAGCATAAAGAATATATAATTAAAGGATCAACACATGTTAAATTAAGAAAAATAACAATTATAGTATCGACTGTGCTATAATTAGCAAGTATTTTATAATTTTTTTAATTTCATTACTTTTCATTCTATCATTATTGACGTACTTAATGAGAATTTTGGTACCAAATTAAATTGTTTTAATAAGTTTGATGATTAATTAATAAATTCTAAATTTGGTCCAAATTAATAATTATAAATATAAAATAAATTCAATAAAAATGATAAATATTAATTAACCCTCTATCTCGTACAATAAAATGTTTAAAATTCAAAAGTCAAATTACTTTAATGCACAATAGACACAATTCCCATCCATAATTTACGTTCTTCCATAAATTACGATAAAAATTAGCCTCTTGTTTATGATAAATATTACATGCTTAGATAAACGTAATCATAATTTCATTCGTGTAAACAAGATGTTTCTCCATTAACGTAACAGCTATAACAAATAAATGATATTATCTACTTTTTCTATCCACCGACTCGACTTCGGATGCTCTACGACGATGCATTCACGAAGGATCATTGAATCGCCAAACCTCCGCACAACTTCCATTTTTCTTTCCTTAACAAATGTTAACGCAAAGAAGGCAGACGAACTTTATTAAAATAGTACGTATACGTACAGAGTAATTAGGAATGGTTCGATGTCATCATCCGCTAGAAAAAGGGAAAACAAAATCTTAGATTGGCTCGACCGCGTTACTCGATGCTCGACGACAACTATTATTCGCACTTCAGCCGATAATTGACCCAGGACGATTATTCCCTTCCGGGAGGTCAGTTTTCGAGTTCCTAGCGCAGTCGATAGCGTTGGCCAGGTCGCATGTAATATTCCGAGAAAACTGTCTGGAGCTCCGGAGGAAGAGGGCAACAGATACGGAAAGGAAGGAATGAAGAATAGATGGAATGATCCAGTCGATTGGCTGTGCAAGAGAATCAGGGCCGCACTGCGCTTGCGTAGTTCCCGAATTTCATTCCCCTTTCCCTGTCGTCAATGACGTCAAGTTGTCGCACGTCGGGCCTGTAAGATGGAACTTGCAAGCTGCATGTGCGCAATTATGTAATATGCCGTAGGAAATATTGCATTTATGGTGGTAATAATGGCTGTGGGATTAAGGTAATTTGGCTAATTTTGACTGTAATATCGTAATGAGTGGATATTTATGGGCTGAACAGAAAATACAAAAAAAAGAAAAAAAAAAAAATATATTGAAATTTATAATATAATTAATTTTAAGCTTTTTAAATAAAAGCGACAGCACCTGAGTAATATAATATATGAAGAAAATTATTGAAATAGACATAATGTGATATTGATCGAGTAAATGAACAAGACTTATGAAATTATGTAATTAAATAATTAAATAAGGGTTAGTTATATTGGAATTATGACTTGTATGGAATTCGTATGCTTACGTTTAAAATAAATATCGCGACGAGTTTGCTATTTGAAATTGCATTGCTATTAAAAAATTATTCAAGCATCCTGAATTTATACATAACGAATCTATGAATTTTTTAAGAATGAAAATTATTTTAAATTTTTATTTATCTACCTTGTATGTCCGCGTGTATTGTTATACAAATAAACTGGCAGACCATCGCTAAAGGAAGCTTGAAAATTAGGCTTCGATATGTAAAAAGTAATGGTAGACATTTAAGGAATTAAAATAAAATTCACGTTTAAGGACATTGATTTTTCTTACGAGCGATTTATTTAGACGCTGCTCTTATTCATTAAATATTTTTATTCTATTATTATCGCACGTCGATTCATTTCATTTTATACTGGACTATAAATTTTTTAAACGAGCGAAAGTGTAACGTTCGACTGTGCATATTAATAAACCATTGGATTAAAAATCTTTTCCAAATTATCTCACGCGAATACATGAAAAAGTTAATTAAGGTATTTAAATACAATGCCTACCAGTTCCAATTTTCATTCCTTATTATCTATAAGATGAGCATCTGAAAAATTTCTCTGCACATTTAAACTTTATTAAAAGCGTTTAACGAGTGTAAGAGAAAGAATTCCAGTTTTATAAGATAATTTGCATAAACTTTCATTTTATAAGAAGAAAATATACAATTTCATTGATTTACTTACTGACAAGGGATCTTATCATAGTTATTCTCAAAAGTTGTAAATATGTAAAAACGAGATATTTTCTCACAACTTTTACTATAATTTAATAGTTTGAAGATACTATTATTTATCTTTTAAATTGGACCTATAATATCTCTTTGGATTTTGTATAAGTTGACAAAATGTATATAATTTTCAATATAATAATAATTTTATTATTATTATTATAATAAATTATTAATCATTTTGAAAACGTCATTTGATAAAAATCGATCATATTATAATAAATGAAAACTGCAATAAAAATATTTGAAACAAAGCAATTCTTTCAAAAATATATTCCAAACATTTTTTCTATAAATTATTTTCCATAGAACGTTAATTAATTGTATTTAATTTTAGTAAATTGTTTGAATATTATTCATTATGATTGTTTGTATTCTATATTTTTGTGAATTATATACAAATTATTATAATTTATGTATAAATTATATTATGGTCACGTAATAAATTACATGTAAATTTGTACGAAAACTTACCTTAAAAGTAAACTATGCATTTGAGAATTTGAAAAATTTCTTGATTAAATATAACGATGTTCAAATGAAAATATTTGAAGCCTTAAATACTTTCGCATTATTGTACTTTCAACATTATAAAAATACATTTTCTAACATTAGATTTAATATTAGATCAGAGATTCCGTAATTGTTATTGTATTCGTAATTTATTATTGTATAGGAATTTTGCTGAAGCTACTATAATAGAATAACGAAAAAATAATATTGTATAGGCAATTAAATTTCAGAATGTTTAAATTTGTAAATAAATTGTAATAGAAAATAAATATTATAAAACTTAAATTACAAGGTGCAATAGCTTCTTACAATATTCTTAGATTATAGAATTTATTGTTTATTATTCATTGTTTTTTACTATGAGACTTACTAAAATACTTAAAAAGTTAAAAATCAATATAATAATTTTATATGAATATATAGCATCGGTGATTTTTTTATAGACAACGACACATGACGCATCACACATACACTGTAACAAAAATAAATTATTAATTAATTATTCCCCTTGTAGAGTTCATTAAGTAATGATAATTATTTTTCACAAGATTACCAAACATTTGTATTTCAAAAAACTTATCGAAATTAATAAATATTTGAACAATTTTTTAAATTAAATATTAACAAATAAATAAAAATTTCAACTTTAATAAACGAACTTGACAGCTTTTTTCCCTGAATTTGGAGTTTTAGTAAGATTAGCTCAAATTTAATTACATGTCATGGAAATATTAATAAAATATTCTAATGCACTTTGCAATCAATACATTTGTTACTATATCTTGTGAAGTATATAGTTTTGCTGTTCATTGTATACATATTTAAATATAAATAATATTCATACTTGAGCACAGCTGAACCTGTATTTCAAATATTATGAAGTTACGATACCTTTTTTTTCTTCATTTTTTTCAGATTGAAAAACAACTGAAATTAAACCATAAAATAATAATAAATTAAATAATAGAGTATATTAATAACATAACAAAAGATCTGTTTCAATTTATTTTTAGTTTCTAAAGTAATAACAAATAATAAATAAGTAAGTTTTTAAAACATAAATATACAAATTATTATTACAACCAAATGTTTGAAATATTTTAAAAAATGTTTAAATATGTATTGCTTATTTAAAATTGAGTAACAATTCAATTTCTTTTAAAATTGTTCACAAGCCATATTTATTTTACTAGAATTGGAATAAGCGTACTTGAAGAATAGAATACTTAAAAGAAAGATATATTTAAAACATTTTTAAAACATAACATAAAACAAATACAAAACAGAAAAGTTCACACTAATAAAACCATAATATTATACATAATTTTCATTTATTTTATAATGCCTAAATTTTATTTGTTAAACTTTTCTTACAATTTACGTCTTATAAGTAGTAGGGATATCACTTTTATGCAAAATACAACGGAATGTATTACTCGACCATTTGTTTGACGCATCGATAGTTCCTATTGATAAATACCATCCATTTGTAAGCAACTCCGTTTAAAACTTTAATACAAAAAGTCATTTTCTCTTTTTTTAACATCGAAGAAAATTTATTACGATGCGCTGATTTTTGTCATCTAAAATTTAAGAAAAAAACAAAAATTCATTATTTATTTAAAATTTGATAACTCAAAGCCTACTTATTGAAGTAGGCTACCGAAGGTCTTTATTTATTATTTTATTATTTATTTATTTATTATTTTATTTTTTATTAATAACCTGATCACGCAAGTCTTTATTCATTGAAAACTAAAAATGTAATTGGTTCATTGATTTTGTCACAAAAATAATAATAATCGATATCTTAGCTCAACATTGAACGAAATTTATAAATGATCGTATAATCGTAAAATAATTATAAGAAGTATTTACTTATTTTGAATATTGCTTTATTGATTTTTATTTGGTATAATATATAAAAATTTAGATCTAAAGAAAAAGCAGGTTTAATAATAGTTCAATTCTGTAATCAATTGTTTTATTAATTATTATTAATTCTTATTTATTCAATTGTTTTTGCTTCTAAAAGTGACTGTAAATAACTACTTAATTTAATGTTTAAATTAACGTATTCGTATAAAAAATTCGAATGCATTGAATAAGATCTATTAAAATTTAAGTTTATAATAATATTTACACGTTTAATATTTAATGTTTGGCGTATTTATTCGTACTTGCAGTCGAATGTCTTAATGTATGTATAAGGTAATAAATTACTTAGAAAACCAGATGCATTTAAGATTTTAAATTTCTTTCGACTTAATTTTTCATTAGTACCTAAACATAGTGAATAAATCTTTGTCTAAAGTCTAAATTGGTAGCTTAAAAACATAATTTATGACAAACTCATGGGTGTTTTTCATTTTTATAAATTGTTGATAACTTTTGAACACTGACAATTAATTAAGCAATTAAACATGTTCATAAAATCTTAAATTTGAAAATAAATCGGTATTCCTTAAAGAATAAAATTCTATTGGATTATGGTATGCAAATTTCCATGTCTTTATTTAAATTTGATACTATTTAATGAATTAGAAATTACTTTTTAATTGTTTTCAGGCAATGACGGATTAATTCATTTCACATCTGATAGTCTTACAATTATATTACAACTAAATCGTGGTAATGTTTTAAAGACGATTACGAAATAATAAATTTTACGATTTTTTGTTTGTTTGTTTGTTTTTTTTTTTTTTTTTTTTTTTTTTTTTTTTTTTTTTTTGTAGCTTCATACCTTAATAAATAATAAATATAACGCTCACTTTTATAGTTATAATAATGATATACAATATACAAATTAATGTAAAAATGCTTTATCACTTATTAAAGCTTATTATTTATATTTAATTATGTTTTTTTCTTATTTTTAGGCATATAAATATTTTCGATTCTTTAATGATTTTAAAGATCTGAAGGAAGAGTTATAAGAGTATTGTAATTCTAAACAGGTCCAGCAATGTAAGAATTTCACGAAATTATTAATTCAATTGCTTTTGTTTTTAAAAGTGATTATAAATGACTACTTAATTTAAAAATTTTTATATTCTTTTGCATTATCGAGTACCTTTTTAGTGCGTGTACACGTGTGTTAATGTGAGTTTGATTGATGTGTGTGTGTGCGCGCGCGCGCGCGTGCGGTTTGATGCGTGTTTAATGGGTGCGCACGTACGTTAGATGTTAGATGCATCTGCGCGCGTGTGTATGCCCGAGTAAGTAAGTGGGTGTGCGTGTCTCCGTATGTGTGTGTGTGTGCATAAGTAGTATGTATCGTAATGTTAAATCTGTTTATAACGTATTTTAACATTAATCACGATTGGCAGCTCTCTCATAAAATAAGAGATATGGACTAGCATTTAGGACATCCTCTAAAGCAACTTTTTGAACTATTGTATCCGAAGTGTATAGCCATTGCCCTGGACGATTTCCCCGTCTATAGCAAACAAAATGACCAGCGTCAACTGGGCCTTGATGTTCGATAACGGCATAGAGATAATATTTATGTTTGACATGCTGTAATGACTGTCTGCTTAGAATTGGCATTGTATGTATGTTACCCTGTATTAAAATAAATAAATTTTACGTTTTTAAATATTCCTTCAATAGTGGCTTCTTCAACTATTGTTAACTATCAACAAATCTAATGGATTAAAAATTTAATCCATTGCTAGTACTCACTTGGCTATTCTTTCTGTTTGTCTCTGTATAAGTGAATGGGTCCAATATAAGACATTCGTTAAATATCACTGAATCGTCTCTTTTAATTGGCATACCGGAAGGGCTCCATGTTGTTCTTGGTATATGGAGACACAGGCACTTTGGTAATTTACCAAATGTTAAAGTTTTGAATGCTGCGCAACGATTGTTGCATCCATCACATTGCACATCGTGAATCACTTCTCGCGACACCAACCGAGAAAGTAACCCAATGAGAGTAAGTCTTTTCCATATTAGCCCATCATTAGCCGGTGGTAGAGGCAATGAAACACTTTCTAATTTTTCAAAATGTACGGAACCCTGTTTTGATGATTAAATGATACATTTTCGTGATCAATGACTGACACCAAATCTGTATAAAACTTAGAAAATTTGTATTATTCGAAAGGTATATAAATTAGCTTACCTTCCATTTACACTCAGTACATATTAACTGACTCGTTAATAAACCAGAAAATGGATGGACTTTGTTGGACAATGTTGATGTACTCGATTGTAAAGGAATAGTACATAATGAACTCCATGGCCTTAAGGAATCCCCTTCGGCGCCATGATCTCCAATTATTTTTGAAAGAAGCTCCGAGGATCTTGCAATAATTATACCAGGCTTGACGGCCGGCACCGTCGCAGATACATTTGCGATAGATTGAGCGTAGGACACTATATGACTCGGAAGATTTTTATTTTGTTTGTTTTTTTCATTGGGAAAATCGCGTTTTTCGTTGACCGATACAATATCATTGCAAGATACGCTTCTCAAATTTACTGGGTCGCCAGATCCCTTTATATCTGTGATGACCATTGGCGTTTTTGGCAAAGCATCGGATAAGCAACCCTTCTACAATAATTTAAAATCAAATATTAATAATTAAATTGGATTAATCTTACCGATATTACCTATTATATTTTTAAATAAAATTTTAATGTAAGATTGATATTGGAACTTGGAGCGTGTTATTATCATTGAATTCGCGTCACCTAGCGCGCATATCATTTAATTAAAAGTAATTTACGAAAGAAATTGCACAATACTGACTGAAATAAAAATTAAATTTAGCTCGTATAGATTCGTTAAGGTGTAACATTTTTTCAATGAAATTAAAAAATAACATTATTTCTATATGCCAAACTTATTATAAAATATTATAATAATTTTAAAGTATATTGCTTATATTTGATAAAATACCCTGCATGAAGTTTGTAATTCAGCTTGAAGAGCACTTAGAAAAACATGAAATAATTCATGAGCATCCTGATGGCCTGGAGCAAAATTCCAAAGTGGTCCTAACGATGTTATTACCTCGATGGGTCTTACGCTTCCAAACGCATCGTCGGTAAATCCATTGATTTCTGTGAATTGCATAAGAATTAATACGTTAAAAATGCACCCACAACAATAAGAAACATATTAATAAAGTTAGAGCCAAAGACTTACTATCTATCACCATCATTAAGTTATTTGTAAAAGATTCTGGTTTTTTATCATCGTGTCTCTTAAAAAGCCATTCTATAAATACTGGACAAGCTGCTAACGACTGAAGTAGCGAATTGAGAAAGCACGTGTATTCTAAATTTTTTATACCAACGACTTGACCTATAAAGCAAGAAAATAAAATGGATAGTTAAAGGAACCGATAGAATGGCCATTAATGGCGCCAAACATATAAAATTTAATGCTCCAATTTGCAATAGCAAATGCCAATGTAAGACTTTTCGCCATCGGCCAAATAATTAATCAAAACAAACATATTTAAGCGATAAACCATGCAGACCTTTTCGCCTGGGCCTAGGCGACGGACCCCAAAGGACGAAGACTCCCACTGCCAATGCAAAGCCTACTGCAGTAAAGACTGAAATTTTATCGACGTCCATGCTGCAAGTTTGACTGTTTTTAATAAACTATCAAAATGATTATTGTTGAATAATCAAGAGTTAACCTATGCCCAAGCCAACAAATTCATTAACAAAGACCGCTAAAGTACGGCACCAGATTGGTTCATATATGATGTGCCTTACAGCGTTCTTCCCGAATTTATAAAATACAGCCAATGCGACAAACAAACCTTCCACAACTCCGTCTTTTAATACTATAAGAATTTGATAAACTCATTTATAAACAATTGATGTAAGATGAAAAAAAAAACAGTATATCTCGGCGCCCATATGAAATTTTATTCGTGCACATCTTTCCGGCTAACGCAATAATTACATATGCAATTATCAATGTAGCGCTCTTTACTATATAACTACTCGTCCATCCTCCCCCACAGCATCTCAAAATTCAATTTCACCAAACCCTATCCTTTACATAACGTCCCGAGAGCTTTAATATCTCGACTTTAAACTCTTGAATCTTTTATATTCCAAGTAATTCTACGTTTCGCTTCTAACCAGACTGCCCGAGACGAAGAATAGGTCATGAATGCTGCTAAAGTGATTTTATATAGCGGAGATTTCCAATGCCACGATTCTTATTAAGCCCAAGTCGGTACTTGCGATCCGCGCTCAACAAGACTTGAATTTTTCAAAGCTAATAATAATGTGATAATGTTGGTCGCGCAACTTGTAACTTTATTGGCACGATTAATCCAGTCCAATAGTCGAGCTAATTTTCACAATAATGCCAATTTTTTTTTTTTTTTTTTTTCCCAATTCCAGGATAATTGATTATTATTTTTCCATCCGTTTATTCTTCCATTGATTATGCCGTTAATTTAAAAAATTAAAAATGTTCATATAATAATAATAATAATAGCAGGACGACAAAAATAGCATCTTTATGGACGTAGGAATTGGAATGAGGAACTCGGGTCGCAATTTTGCCGCTATCCAGCTATTGTTTATTTTATTAGAAGAAGATTGTTATTGCAATATTGGTAGTGCCGCTGAGTAATTTATTATTCCATTTGAGCTTCTATATCAAGATGAATTGCTCTTTCCGTTCATTCGATTCATTTTCGTTTATTCTTCCATCCATTAAAACATATAGTGAGAACTTCGATTGTTTTATTGTTCACTATATTTATATCATTGGGATTGATTTTTTATTTTTATAATATTTAGCTGGATATAATAGGCTTTCATCGCGTATTTTATATCGATTTGGTAACGATGAGGGAATACAATCGGATAATTACAACAGTAATTAAGGCGAAATTATTTATTTATTTAAATTTAATTCTAACAGAAGGCAGAAGGTAAAATAGGAACTTAATGGCTAGCTAAAGTACGACTTTACAAATCCTACTTACTATGCTCGTTAATTTTTCTTTTCTTTCGAAAATGTCGTCGAGCTCGCGCACATCAGGCATTTTACAGAAACGTATTCGTAAAATTGAGTAAGCATTTAAATTAAAATATGAACACATAATTATGATAAAGTAAATTTCGCTACTTCCCATGTTGGCGGAAATTCTATTTGCACGTTAAATTGTGATTTTAACATTACAATTTAATGTTTCTAATGCTGTAAATTTGATTTAGACTATTTTAACAATTCGTGCGATAAAATATTTTTATCAATGTCATGAAAATAAAAAAGAAAAAACAACAAACAAACGGCAATTATTATTCAACAACAATTTACTTCTTCAAACTATCGACACTCCAAGTCTGTTTAAAAAAAAAAAAAAAAAAAAAAAAAAAAATTAGTTTAAAAATTGACTTTGACAATATTAATATTGGATTGATTAATAACCGAATCAGTGCATATTATTCGGAAAATATAGTAGTGTGTGCACTAGTATCGATACCTTTCATCATAAAATGTTTATTTGTAAAGCTTTTGTTAGACGTTGTCGAAGGTTGCAAAGTATATTAACGATAATACGATCTTATAAGGTACTCGTGACAACAAATTTGGTTGTTTATCAACTAAATAACGACATTTGTAAACATAATATAATGAATGAATAATTAGCGTGAAAAATTGCAGGAATTCGATTGTATACGAGATGAAGCGCACGTAATAGTAGACTAGCGACAAAATTATTATGTAAAAGTATGTTATTAAATGTGAGTCGGTGAAACCTCGTTAAACTATCGAGATTTTTTGTTTTTATAATACGCGCCTGCGTGTAATAGAACATAATTTTCACTAAATATATGAATATGTCGTTAAAATATATTTCATTCCAAGAATTATAATTATTATTACTATTATTACTATTATTACTATTGTCGTTGTCGTTGTCGTTGTCGTTGTCGTTGTTGTTGTTGTTTCGAACTTATAATAATTATATATAAAGGGTGATAAATGTCAAATTATTTCATAATAGTATATATAATTAAATTCAATAGTTATAATTATGGCAATATTTAAATTTATTGTTACATTTGCATTATTTACAAGTCAATTCCTTTTATCGCCACCAATAAATGTAGATTATAGATCTTGGTGATAAAATTTACGATCGTAAGAATTTAAAATGAAATTGATATTTGTATCGAATGAGAGTATACAAACTAGTCATTAGCTTTTCTTTTTTATCCGTAAATTACGCGTGTAAAATATTTGCTGTATTAGCCTCGGTAAGTGTCTGGCAAATCATTAGGATATTGTGTGTGCCATTAAAAGGAAAAACAAAATAAAACAAAATAACGCGATAATTCATTGCCAAATTCAAATACTCTCAACGTTCTTGAAAAGAGAAATGAACTTTTATCCTGCCAATGAATTTCGCATGCATTTCAGCGAGCAATTAGCAAAGTAAATAACGAACACGTGATCCTGGAGCCTCCACCCATCCCCCGCCCCCGGGCGAATTGACAATTCGAATGGAATGTGCGTAGAGGCTCGTCGCGATCGTCCATCATCGACACGAGCATAACGACGGCATTATGGACCAGAGCAGCAATGCAAGTAGCGTAAGAAGAAAACGTCATGGTTAAGAATAATGCGTGCGAGAAGCGAAGAAACAATGGTAGCGTAGAATGGAAAATCGATGGGAGCGAATAAATTTCTTGAAATATCGCGGACTGGCGTCGAAGAAGCTAAGTGAAGCATCGCGGAGCCACGTGAATTCTTTGAAGACGGAGGAGGAGTCGGGGCTGGGGAGGCCGGGATTACAAAACCCTCGGACAATTTGTCTAGAAATTAAAATTGCCGTGGGCGCACCACCGGTGCTGGTCTGTTTGTATGTTATGGGCGACTGGAGGCGCACAGAATTTGTGCCGTTTAAGCAAGTTGATTCTTAGTTCGTTCTCACCCCGATTTGGCGAGTCGGCGGCGGATGCGCGGGGCCGCGGGGATCCGCCGCGGGCGAAAGGGGGCGACAGTGGTTAGGGATAGAGGGACAGAGTGGTGAACGGCAAGAGATAGAGAGATAGAG